TCCAACGGACCCCTGAAAACTCGACCTGAATTCTGTGCTTTCTCGTCGCCGTGTGGACCTTGGACGGCGCAGGGACGCAAATATGTCTTGCGCCTTCGCACGATGATCGCTCGTGCCACCTTGGCGTTTCCGCCGCGAGGAACCAGAATTATGCATGGACGGCATCGAGGACGACGGGCGCGGACGCGCCTCCGCCTCCCTGAGCTGCGGCAGCTGCACTTGCGACGGCGTTTGCGACTGGGATGCGGAGTGTGGGACCCTGCCAGGCCCGGGCCCGCGGAACGCTGGGTGGTCAAGTGGCGGCATGGGCGGCGCGGGCGAGGCTGACGCCGATGCGCGTCCGCTCACGCGGCCTTGGGAACCGAAGGTGAAGCCAGATGACGGGGAAGGGAGGTCGCTGGCCGGTGTCATATGCCCGTGCCCGCTGTTGGAGTGCGTGGCCGAGTCGTCGAGTTGTTGGGAGGTGGTTGAAGGCGTTCCGAGGTTAACCTGCGAGTGCGACCGCGACTGCGAGACGGAGTGCGAGATGGACGTGCCATGGCTGGGTGCAGGGGAGCCGCGTCCGCGCTCGCCGAACTCTGTGAGGTGCAGGCGGTTGTCACTGCCGTTCTTTCCTCTGCGCCCGAAGGTGGACCATCCAGTGGTGGTTGTGGTCGCGGCTAAGTTGGTCGAGGATGAAGCAGGACTCGGCGCGCCTGTGAGGCGCGTGAGGAAGCGTTGTGTACGTGTGGGTGGTTGGGGCTGCGCCGTGAAGGGAATAGGGACGCCAAACTCAGGGAGACCCTCGAGCCGGGTGTCGGGTGGCGGCGGCTGTATAACAGGAGTTGCACCGTCTATGGAATGTCTGCGGGTGCTCGGTCGCAGTGAAAAGGGAGGTGGGGAGGATGGTCCAGGCGTAGAATCCGCGCTTGACGCGGGTCCAGCGGGTTCAGCGGGAGAAGTCCAATTCGCGACTAGCGAGTCTAAATCTGGGTGTATCTTCCTCTCCAGTGGAGACTGGGCCTGGGAAGCGGTCGGCTGCGGGGGCGATGGTGCGGGCGTGGTTGGGAGTGTCGGACCGGACGAAGTCAATGCGGAAGTGCCGGATAAGCTCTTCGTCCTCCCTCGTCGAAAGTGCGCCAAAATGTTCGCCATCCTAGGTCCAAGCGAGAGAAATCGATACGTAACGATTGGCGGAGAAGGAGGCCAGGGAGCGTAATCTCAGACACTAGGAGACGGTGACATGAGACACAAATAGGAGCTTCCCTGGGCGCGAATAAGAAGACAATTTTCACGCAATCCCGAGCCACAGGGAGGTGGGCGGGAGAAAGGGGGACCCTGCTGTAATAGGCCCTTTACCCGAGCCCTGCTTCTTAGAAGTGACTGCTGGTATGTATGACCGTCCACGCAGACCGCCCAATCAGGAAATCGATCTGATGCCAATAAGCGGTCGAAATTTTGCACGGCCACTCGATATGGGGTCGATTGCCTCCGTGGAAACGGACTTGGAGGGTTTGCTGAATTTCGTGAACGAAGAGGAGGGAAGGAAGAAGGAAATATTTTCTAGGTCCCGGGGTAATGGGCTTGACAAGACTGAGACAGATTGCAGATGGAGCCTGAGATGGACGAGATGGATCATCAAACATCCTACCACTGCACGCGGAGAGACACGGAGCTCTTAGATGTGTGCGAACTAATGGAGAGGATATAGCGCTTACATGTGCCATTCAGGTTGTTCTGAGGTAGAAATTCGAGTCCGGGACCCTGCGTCGACAATCCCATCCCATCCATCCATCCATCCATGCGTTGACCCTCCGGGTTCTTCGTCGCCATCGCAGAAATACATGTGTGGGAAAGATGGCGCGGTAATATACTTATGTCGGGAAGACGTCGACGCGGGCTCAGATCCGAATACGGGCGGGAGGATATCGAACGGGGTGCCGGAATAGAATATTGCTGTATGATCGAATCTCTTTCGTCAGTGTGATTTAGATTAGGGCTTTGCGGCACTTATCAGGATACAAAAGGGATCTTGGTTGTTCCTCTAAGAGCTCGTCTCATAGTACGACTGCATCAGACACAAACTTACACGCATGCTCGTCGCCCGCCGTTCTACCCCCAAGGTTTCGAGATCCGTGACGCATGTGAACGCATTGGTGTGTGGGAGCCCCCGCACATTTCGTCTGCAAGGATCGGTCACTTGAGTCCTGCGATCCAGTGAACCAGGATAATGAATGCTAGTGCAAAATAATTCCGCGTCGCAACATAATTTTTGAAAATCCCCCGTTTTTGAGCCGAACACCACAGTTGCCGCAGTTATTTCCGCAGTAACGAAGTCTGTCCAACTGTTAGTCGGCACCATGTTACAGTCGGGAACCCACTCGGAAAGAGGCCGAACATGACAATGTATACGGGCCTGAAAATACGTTTCATGGAATTTGAGCGATAACATCGATCTGAGCATCTCATCTACGCACTGCATAATGCGCTCGGTACCGGTGTTGGAACCAAACATGCACTGTGCCGCCAGGGATAGACATGGGCTGGAACGTGGCGACCGTCAGCCAGAACTAATAGAACGGCGAATCAAGAGGATACTCAAGGTTGGCCCGAATCCGCGTCGCCATGCTACCTGAGCTTTGGAGAAGGGAGAAGGATCCGCGTCCGGAACCGGTGTACTACAAGAAAATAGATTGTGGGGTGAGAGAGCTATTCACGCAATTGCAGGTAATTGAGTGTAATTGAAATAGAATAGGACGTCTGGGAGGATGGGCTGAGGAAGCGAACGAAAGCAGGCCCGTCCGTCGTGAGATTGAGCCTTAACCACACTCTATGTCGGAAAAATCGCAAATGGCATATTAGGCCCTGTTAGGCCTTGTCAGGCCGAATATGGCCGTTAGGTTTTGAGGACCGTGTTAGGTTCAGGTATGTACCATTAGACCTTGCGAGTGGTTGTAAGAGCTAATTGGGCCTAACGGACCTTATTGGGCCTAACAACAGTTACAAGGGCTAATAAGGTCTGATTGGGATGTCAAGGCAAAATAAAATAAAAATAATTTCCACTTTCTTATCCCTTGAACTACTGCATCTAGTTCTTCATGTTTATCATTTACTTAGCAAGTGAGTTCAATGAGAACTGAAATTAATCACTGCTGGGGTTTGAACTCACGCGGCCAAATTTGAGAACAAGGCTATTACCACTGCACCACACAGCTATTCCAAAATGCCACAACTCAACTCGCTATATACTGACCTCCTTTCCTAATATGACCTAACAATACCTTGTAGGACCTTGTCATCCCCTCTCACGTTGTATTAGGTAGGTATAAAATGTGATACATTGATACAACTACCACACATGTTTCTACCCATCCTCATCATTGTTCTTCAGTTTCTTTTTGGTGTTCAACAAATCCATGACATCAACCATGCATTTTCAGCCCTGGCCGACGCATTGCTTTGTCCTGGGAAGAAGATATTATCCCATACACGGAAAATGTTGAGAACTGAGCCCTTGTGCTTCTTAAGACCCTTTGTCAATCCGGGTCAAAAAAATTGATCTTTTGAATACAAAAAGGAACTCTCACCACGATAAGTGAAGCAAAAATTTTACCCGCAGTCATGTCCTCGTTCTGCAGACCCTAAATTTGGTTGTTTTTTTCAGCCTGCACAATGTGATTCTTATGGTCCTTGAGCAGCACGACAATGCTGGGTCCCCTCTCACAATGGAAGTGAATATCTGAAGGGTTGGTTGACCGGACTTGAGCCTGATTTGGAGATGCTACTGTCGGACTCGAGGTGTTGTTCATGGGTGTGTTTTCGCTTTCCCATTTTGATAGGAATTGTTGGGACTAGTCACGTTGCTGAGAGACTTGGATTGTGGTCTTTTTTTTTTTTGAGCAAGCATGTAAAGTTTCAAAGATAATGCATCGCTTATGTTTGGACCGCATCTTGAACTTGTCAACACTGCTACAGTTATTTTCACACAATGGCCACGAATCAAAGAACTCTCAAGAACCCACTCTTACATGGCCCTATTAGGTCCTCTAAGGTCTTATAAGGTTTACTGTCAAACCTTGCAAGACCTTATAAGGTCGTTAGGGTCGGTTAGGCCTAATAAGGCTTTTTTGATTTTTCCGACATAGGAGGAGGATCTTCGGGGTGGCCAAGCCATGCATGCCTCCAGCCATATCATGAGTACAATTGATAAGATTTTAGGACAGAGTAGGCCGCAGGCTTCGTAAATTTCCTCGCAAGCTTTTCAGTTTGGTACCAGTTGACGGAGTAACAAACCAAAAGTTCCAGTATCCAGCGTCTTTCTGGTTCGTTCGTATCATTTTTCGTTTCGACCTCGATAGAAATTAAATAACGCTGTCGGACTATTTGGAGGGTAGCGCGAAATGGATGGAACGACCGGTATGTCTCCCGAGGCTTGACTCTTGAGAGAGAATCATAATATGGATGATGTTTGTAGTGCACGTGATGGATTACTCGGAGTGGCCGGCCCGTCCGTCCCCATTATGTCTTTGCTTTCTTCCTCTCTCCTCCAGCTCCAACTGCCAGCTGGAATTGCCTCCTTCGGTCGCGCTCGGCCCCAGCCTCTGTTAAACAGCGCTCAGAGTCCAAACCCGGCCGGTTGATCCCTATCCGACCGCCGCTGAAAGTTGTGCAAACGTCCGTTACGTTCGATACCCGCCCTTCAGAACGAGGTTGCGAGAGGGAATCAGTGCAAGAGACCACTCCCATCCTGAGCGCCGCAACTTCGCACACTGAGTTACGACCACGCTGTCTTCACAAACGCAGAATCCTTCGCCCCGCTTCACCTTCTGTCCTCTCCGACTTGTTCCGGCCGCGGCAGCTCGATCACTTCCCTCTGAATTTCGATCTCGTCTTCTTCTGGCACGGAGTCAAAGCGCATCCTATCTTCGCAGCTCGACCTTTGTATTGATCCTGTGCTCATTAGCCTTTCGAGAGAAAATACCCCGCCCTATCTTACCGCTCTCCTCTCAATGGACACCATCGCATTAATGGGGTAGTGGTAACCTGGGTCGTTGCCATAAGTTCTTTCGAACGCTTTCGTTTCGACCCGCCGGGGGTTCGATTCCCCCTTAATGCATCTGCGTTATCTTTTGCTCAATCATCCAACTTTTTCCCCCACCAGCCTATTCCCAGTTTACATCCCTGTACTACGACCCTGCGCACCGATTTGATCCATGTCAAAACACACGGAGGAAGTTCTCGTGGGAGGCCGTCTCCTCTCTGCCTTCGTTCTGGGTTTTGAACCTCGCGTGACGCGGAAATGGTGCTCTGTTCACTCACCCAAAACATAGTTCGACGCCGCATTAGCCTGGATGCCGATTAGACCGTAACCTCCAACTCCAAGCAATGTCTCCAAGTTCAACCCGCTCGAAGCCTCCACGAAATTCCTGCCTTTCAGGTAAGTACTTACCTGAAACTGTGCACACCGATTCGATCTATGTCAACATACCTCGGCGCAGGAAGCCGCCGTGGGAGACCCTCTTCTACCTGCCATTGTTCTGGGTCTTGAACTTCGCGTGACGCGGACGCCCTCTCGCGCTGGTATTCTGTTCAATCACTCGAACCGCAGCTCGACGCCGCATTGCTAGCCGGGGTAACTTAACGTCCAACTTCAAGCAACGTCTTCAGCCCGTTCGAAGCCCGACGAGATTGTTGTATTTCAGGTACCTGAACCTGTGCGCATCGACTCGACTCCTATCAAAATACCTGGACGCAAGAAGATCTCGTGGGAGACCGTCTCCTCTCTGCCCTCGTTCTGGGTCTTGAACCTCGCGCGACGCGGAAGCCCTCTCGCGCCGGTGCGCTGCTCAAGCTTCAGCCACCCGAAACATGGTTCGACGCCGCCCCAGCCGGCCCGGGTAGTAACATCCGACTCTAAGCAACGGCTTCAACTCGCTCAAAGCGTGTTTCTTCAGGTATCTGAAACTGTGCACACCGATTCGACTGCTATCCACTACCTCGACGCAGGAAGCTCTCGTGGGAGACCCTCTCCTCTTTGCCCTCGTTCTGGGTATTGAACCCGCGATGCGGAGAACTTCTCAGCCTGCGGGATCTCGTACTGGAAATAAGGCCCACGCCTCAACACTCAGGTTCCATTCAATCCCTTGGCCCAGAGAAGACACAAAACGAAGGGAAAGCGTCCAGGGACGATTTACCCCTTGGAACTCGTCATCGAAGGAACGAACACGTCATCCTACATCTTCCTAGATGCTTGGGACTCCACGTCGGACGCGAGCAATTACGAGCGGCTCCCGATAACTTTATCAGAATTTACACATACCATGTGGACGGTGAACCAGACTGCGGGTATGTGGCGGTTGGTTTTCTGAACGAACACAGGACAACGAGCTGTGTAGGCGTTGTCACTGCCAGCGGCTTTGCAAATACCACATTTCATGCTCTGGACGCCTATGGCTCAACAGGTAAAGTAAGGGTCTATTATTAGTGAACACTCTCGCATCTAGGTCGTCAAAATCCGTGCCGTCCACAAAGTACTCCCTTCCGCCAGAATTTCCCTGACCCAATCTCTTTCTACCATTGCCCGTACCCCTCGTAGGTATTAGGTATGCTACGCACAGTATGTCAGACAGCATTCTAATCTGTGAGATCCTTCCGGGTTCGTAGTTGCAATCGGTGTCCTCTGTGAACAGTCTCTAATCATTTCAAGGTTGTAGATAACACTCTACATAATTTGCAAGATCCTTCCGGGTCCGCATTTCATCGATGCCCTCTGCGTGTAAGCATGAGAGGATGTCGGTGGAGGTTGTCTCACACTGCGAGCCCCTTTTCACCAATGCATAGTCCCTCCGATATGCCCGTCCCCCAAAATTGCGTTTGGAACAATACTTCTAGACTGTTTCTGATGGGAATCACATTGCTCGGCTCCTGGGGGCTGGTAGCCTGCCGATTGGATGCTCGCAACCGCAAAAAGAAATAGATGCTCTCCAGTGCGCGTCATAGCATCGGCCGACCATTTGCCTCTAAAATAATCTTCAATCTTGTTTCTCATGCCAGTGCCCTGCAACGTATCGGAACTTGTTCCGACACCAATCGTGGGGACTTTTCATATTCAAGACCTCGATTTGGGACCTTTTCACGTTAAAAAGGACCCATGACCTCGCTCCAAGGCACCGTCGCGGCTTCCTTCGTTGATGCATTTATAGGTTATCAAATGAACTTCAAGGCACCCTCGGTCTTCCTGTCGTCCTTTTGTTTGGCCACAGCTACCAAATTCAAACGAAGAATCCAGCGTAGCCCAATAATGACTGAGTCGCCCATTCTTCTGCATCGCTCGAGCTAGCTACGCTGCATATTCAAGCTCCAATTAGACTTTCAAAACTGCATTCACCGATGCGGACCTAGAAGAGCACCATCTTTCCCAGGGTTGCATCTTGATCTTCCTCCTGCGGATCCTTTCCCCGATGCAAAATAGCCTCGCAAAACCCATTTCCGTCCATCATACAGGGCTTCCATCGGGTTTAAATAGACTGTTTTCTCGCCTGATCCGGCACAATTGGCGCACGTTCACTCACGGTGCCTAATCTTTCGCGCATTGCTACAATGTCGCTGTTTTCATTTGCTCGATTCGCCGCGCGGCACCGCAGCACTCGGGTTCTTCCATCGCGGTGCCGCACACGCATCGGCTTCCGCAGCTAACCGTGGGCGGAACAGTACCTGGCTCTCGGAGGCGTTATCTAAAGGTCAAACCTTTTGTTAGTCTCTTATTAATCCATTTTCCAAGTGAATCAACCCTGGTGGCGCACTGGGAGTCCGCTCTCTAACAGCAAGTTCAGTTTAAACCATGGAGACTTGAAAAACACAAGGAACCGTCAAATCAAGGCAGCCTTGGACAGTTAGATAAAATATCAAAGCCCCCGCTCATATGTCTCGTCCTGAGAGGTCCGGAGTGTATTTTTTTTCCACGACTCTCATTGGCGTTCTACATAAATCAACGGTGTTGTTTGTTTCGCGTTGGCAAAATAGACGGCAAGAAATGTATAAAAGGATCCCTTCTAGCCTCTTTATTCTTCAGCCTCCCTCATCGAGTCTACCAGCCAAAATATGTTCTTCAAAGCCCTCCTCCTTGCTCTCGTCCCCGCTGTCTTTGCGGTCGACCATGCCATCACCATCGGTCTGAACAACACCCTCACCTTCACCCCCGACACGGTCATCGCTGACATCGGCGACACCCTCACGTTCACTGTGTAAGCGTCGCTCTCTCCCCGCTGCTTTTGTTATCCAACTCACTTGTCCTATTAATTTCAGTGTCGCTCGCAACCGTACGCACCACAATGAACGGTCCCGTTTTTGACTTAATTCTATCTCTAGACTCGACCACCACCACCCACTTCTCTAGCGACGAGGGCCAAATTTGCCCACCCCCTCCAGGCGGTGTCGGTGAAAACGGCTGGGACTCCGGGTTGTAAGTCTCAGCACCATCCATAGAACAACCTGGATATTGAAGTTTGCTCGATGTTAGCCTCTCTGACCTCGATGGTTCCATGCCTCAATTCGTCTACACGGTCGTCGACACAGCGCCGCACTTTGCTGCCTGTATGCAAGCCGCTGGCGCCCACTGCAGTGAGTATTTCCATTCTAGAAATAATCATTCGCTAAACGGCGCTCACAGGGGCTGGCATGACTTTCGCGTTGAATCCCACCGAGGACATGACTTACGACCAATTCAAAGCAAACGCGATGGCGTCTCCGGCTTGAACGGCTTGAGAGACACTCCACCATGCAACTCGGAATTCAGGCATATTCGGAACACACGCTTAGGCTCTGATAAAGGTTTCTGTTCTCGTTGGATTTGCAGCGTGTAGTGGGAGTGAAAATCAATATTTGTATATTCACCTTGCTTGCGAATGAATTTTTTTGATCGAAGCCTGGGCTACTGAAAATGGTCACTTTACCACACAACATTATTTTTCGAACCTTGGTTGAACTGTCACGTGAGACATATTTGTTTAACATCCACGATCTCAACCTGACTCTGAGCGCCAAATACACGAGCCAGGAGGTAAACACCCGCTGATCATCGGAAAGTCTAATACACATGTAAGCTAACAGTTTAACAGCACTAGGCCTCGGCCCCAAACTCCTCTTCCTCCGCAATCAACCGTTCAGCCTCTAACGCAGCCATGCAGCCGGTGCCGGCGCTGGTGATCGCCTGTCTATACCTCTTGTCTTGTACATCTCCTGCAGCGAAGACGCCCTTCACGGAGGTTTGAGTTGTCCCGGGAACGGTGATGATATACCCATCGGGGTCGGTCTGGAGCTGACCACGAACGAGACCCGTAGCGGGCTCGTGGCCTGGGGATCGAGGTTAGAAAGCACACAAGGAAGTAACATAACGGCATACCGACTGCGTAAAACAGACCATTCACGGGGAGGTTTGTTACCTCGCCTGTGGTGAGATTCCTGATCTTGAGGGCACTGAGCAGGTCTCCGTCACCGACACATTCTGTGGCGACGGTGTTCCACAGAACAGTCTGTGATCGCATAAGACACGCGGTGAAAACGGGTGAACCAGGCTCGTCTTACGATTTTGGGGTTATTAAGCAACCGCTTTGCCATAATTTTAGACGCCCGGAGTTCACCCTTTCGAACAAGTACGTATACGTGGGAACCATATTTCGTCAGGTCTGGGGCGCAATTGAATGCTGATCAGGATCTGGGGTTAGGATCCTGGTAATAACTGAGCACTGACATGTTGCTTCTTCCGCGGCCGAGTCGCCTCCTCCGATGACCGCCAGAGGCTTGTTTCTGGGACGTACAGATGAATTATAAACCAAGGCATTCCCTGAACGACGCACCGAAATATCGGGACAGCCCCATCGCAAACAGCGCATGCAGAGATGCCGCTTTGCCAATATGTATCCTCGCCGGGGAGACCCAGTCTTTTCGCGCTGGCGCCTGTGGCAATAATAACAGTGTCGGCAGTCTCCGGCTCTTCGTCTTCCTGCATCTCTCGCCAGTATCTAAACGGACGTGCCGAGAGATTGATCTTCGACACAGTCTCGGTGATGATCTGGTGAAGGCTGGAATTAATGGACGGGGTTAAGATAACGGAGCACG